CTCATCATCCTTCAGCTTCTGGTTGATCACACTGGTTAAGCCCTGAGCATTCAGGATACACGGGAGGCTCAGGAAGACTTTGTTCTCAGTGCCACACATCCCCTTCACCATCGTTGACACTGAATGAATCCTGGATGGATGTTTCAACATGGATTCAGTGAGATCAGCCACACTTAATCTAATAGCCCCGTTGGTATATCCTTATAGCTTGATGACTTCACAGGTACTTTCAACCACCGTCTTATGCACATCCTTCCAATTTTCACTGTCATCGTCTATTCCTATTTCTGGATTCATTTCCTGAAGAGAAATACCTGCCACATTCACTCCACTCCACATAGCCACACTTGAGTCCCCATGTTCTCCCAAAATCCAACAGCTGAGTGTTCCAGGGTCCTGCACTCAGTAGTGGGGATATCAGGAGTACAGAGTGATTTATTCATGTCCACAGAGCCAGACCGGTGAGGTTCCTGGCCTGCTCTTCCTTAGTCTTCTTTGCTGCCTCCTCTTCTTTTTCCCTACCTGTGATTATCACAGAGCCACAGGGTTCAGTTCCCTGAGTGAGGCATTTCTGTATTCTGTTCTTACTCCTGAGGGCACCTGATTGAATTTAATGACTCCAGACGCATATGCTTGGTTATAAAATAGGTAGTTCAAACTTATTACATCTGAAACAGAACTCTGGATTTTTATCATTAAAACGATTCTTCCCCAAGGTTTCTCCACCTGTCCAAATGACTTTACCATTCACACAGTGTTTATGCTCCAAACCTACAAGCAGCCTTGATTTCTTCCCTTTTCTTCACATCACTCAGTCCCATCAGCGGTTCTTGCCATTTCAACCTTGAAAATAATTAGGATCCTGACCACTTCTCCCTTCCCCTCCCTCTGCCATTTTAGTCCTAACCACTACCCCTTACCTCTAACTCTAAAGTACTGCAATAGCTTCTTAACGGAGACCTCTTGCCCTCCAGTTTTCCATAAGCAACTGGAGTAATTCTCTAAAAGTAAGTCGTATCATGTTTTCTTACTCAAAATCTCCCAATACTTTCCTACAAAACTCTTGACTATAGTTTACAAGGCCTTTTCTGACCTCATTTCCTACTGTTTTCTCATTCATTCTCTCTGAGCTATTCAAATCTGCATTTGAATGTTTTTCCAAATACCTTAGCTTGTTTCCCATAGAGCCTTAGCAAATTTATAGACATTTCTATTTCCTCTTCCTGGAGTGTTCTTCCTTCAGATAAATATTTATTCAAGTGCCATTATCATTAAGATCAGAATTTTTTTTTTTTAGAAAATGTATATTTTAATATATAACAGCTTCTGCAATGCTGGTGTGGTTATGGCTGTATAATTTTATGTTTAGAAACCAAAGATTAAAAAAAAAGAAACCAAAGATTACCATTAATAATTAATAGTAATGCAAAAGAAAAAAACGGACAACAATTCAGAAAGGATTTTGAGGCCTGCTAAGTTACAGAAAATGCCATTTGTGAAAAAGATGGGTGTAAATCTTTTATGAATGAAGCCTGAGTATTTCCATTCATTATTAGGAAAAAGTCCTGAGCAGAATTTCACATTATCTTTGAAAGTTATTTCAAATGCTCATATGCCCCCCAAGGGCTGCACAAAATTACCATTTAGCCTTAACCCAGGGTTATATGAAAAAGACATTGTGCCTTGTTATGAAATGACTGATTTTTGAAGATGAGATACGCATAGGTGAATGTTAGAAAATATTCCATAAATATGTGAAGTAGGAGGGGGAAAATATTCAATCATAATAATATGTATCATTGAAAACAAAATTCAGCTCTTTAGTATTAATTGGCAGTTACTTTCACTGGCACACCGAGTTTCCAAACATTGTCTATCTTAAAGTAAAATTAATTTCTGTTTCTATAAAAATAGCTGACACGTGGAATATACTTAATAGCCTACAAGTGTTTATACATACTACTTGATTTAACCCTTGGAACAACCCTGTGTGAGCCAAGCAGTATGGCAACTTGGTTTATAGGACTTTCTGAGAATCACACGACCAGCAAAAGTTTGAATTCATAATCAGCTCTTCTGATCCTGAAACCACCCTTCCATGGCAATGCCAGTGATTCTGAGTTCACCCAGCCAGACGAGAACAGGTCCAAAACACAGTGGCATCTATCTGTCTTAAGCATTTGTGAAGGACTCCATGTTCCTGTGTTCCTTGCATGATTGACTGAGTAGAGCTAAGTGTTTGATGATGTTGACCAGTCAAGATCTCAGGAACCTGATTGCAGTGGAGTCTGCTTAATATGATTGTTATATTTTCATGGTTTCCTGGGGAAGTCATAGGAATTATCAGTGGCAGGAAATACATGTTTTAGTCTTGGGTTTGTATAAAAAGATTCGGTTAGTACTTTGATTATTAACTTTGTAAGTGTGAAGGCAAAGTGATTTCAGCCCATTGACATTCTTTTCAACCTAATGAGAATAGGCATTCTCTGGCATATTCCCGGTAGAAAAACTGCCTTTCAGAGGCTAGGCTTCTGAAAACATCAGGATCCATGGAATAGGATTACCATAAAAATATTAAGTGTTAATGTGAACTCAAAAGCACTTATTATCAGTCTAGAAATTACTAGAAGCTGCTTTTTTATACTCTGACCAATGAGAATTTTAAACTTGAGTTTGTATTGCAAATAATTCTTTCAAATTGTTTTCAATAGTTATTTTAAGAAATAATAGTAAAGTCAGCAAAGACAAGTTTCTTTTTTTCTTATTAAGTAGGAAAATACAAAATATTCCATCATTTTCTAAACTCAAAAACCTAATTAAATTTTTTCCTTGAAAAAAATCTACATTTTAGTAAATTTGTTAAAACTACAGATGAATGCTTCCTTGTGAAAGGTGCTATAAAAGATATTAAAAGGTACAAGAAAACTCCATGGAGATAATACACGTGCATGCGTGTGGGCGCACACACACACACACACACACACACACACACACACACACACTTCTGTTGAAAATTTAGATGACAATATAAGAAATTACGTAGTGAGTACCAAATGATAGATACAGACAAGATATCCTAGACCTGTGTGCCAGCGATGATCAGAATTACCTTCCTGAAGGAGGTATGATTTGAACTTAGAATATGGTAGGAAGAGCTTTTCAATAAATTTTTTCTTAATTATTAAAGGCAAAGTGGAGAAAGTTAAGACTGCTTGGAACCTGAAAAAATATGTATATATGTAGTGAAGGAGAAAAAGATTTTAAATCTTAAAAAGACTGTAAATAGTAATAATAATAACAACAATGGGACATCTGTATAGAATTGCTAACACTTGTAGAATCTCAGCAAAATTACATGGAATTTCAGTGTTCTAATCCTGCTAATATTTAGTAGGTTTGGTTTTTGGTTTTTTTCTTTTTCCAAAACAAAAAGGTACCAGTGTATTTAGTTTTCATACTCAATACAAAAAAAGATTTTTGAAAGGCTACCAAAAACAATCTCAAATGACCAACAGCTGTCTTCTAGGTTATTGGTGAAGATGAACTTTGGTATTAATGTCCCTCGTGTTTGCATTCCTCCTCCCTGACATGTCCAACATTAATTGCATTTTAATGAAGACTGAATTAAACAGGTCCGTGAGCTGTGCCTGCGTGTTCCGTCTTCCCACAAATCATCACTGCAGCTCTGTTCATTTGCACCTCCCTTTGCCACATTTAAGTTGTCCAGTTTATTTTTCCCAACTTGGAAGTTTCTCTTCCCATAAAAGGTCAGATTTGGGTTAATGATCCCAAATACACAATCTTCTTTAGAATCCTTTTTCCATTTTTCAAAACTGATGAGTTATGACCCTTAATTAACTATGTGGTTGAAGCCTTGTACGGTGTTTCATGCTGACAGTATAGGAAGAGTGATCCCCCCAAAAGAAGAGATATTAGCAATGAGAAATGTCACACCTGATTACACAACCTGACATGTAATTAGTGCCCCTGGCTATTTTTTGAACCAATGATGGATGTGTCAATGGCCAGCATTAATTACTTACAACTTAGCACGCCTGTCGGTTAAGGACGTGCTCTGTATTCTTCATGAATCCTCACAATAGCTTCCTATGAGCCGCGCACCTCAGCACATACCTATTGTTGGTGTGCGCCCCGCTTTCCCGTGTTAGTCCCTCGAGAGAGAGGGGCCCATCACGTGGGTCATGATCGACCAGTAACTGCTTTGGATTTTTGCTGCCCGGGCAGGTCTGGATTATCTGGAGAATGTCTTGTATGTGTAGCGTGTACCCCAGCATTAACTAATAAAATAATAAAAGAGATCTTAAGTACATATACTCAAAAATAGATACCCAAACAATAGTTTGTTGGGTTTTTGTTACTTTGGAATATTTCGTGTAAATTTCTCCCTGCAAATTGACTTTGCTGTTTTCTCTTAACAGTTTGGGATCTTCGGAGACATGACTTAAATGCATTTATCTTGGATTTAAGAAGAACCTTAAAAATCTTTTTAGACATTACAAACACATGCAGGCACACACATTTGATATTTTGTGTTCTATATTTCATATATGATATATTGTATTTTTATAGAGGTGGTTTGTGGCATTGACAGTTGAGAAACACAGTATGTTATATTTTGGGGATATGATACATTGTACTTTGTCTCAGGCTGTTTTTCTCTAGTAAGTCAGGAGGAAAAAACTTTTGTTTGGTTCACCAGTATATCTCTGCATCTAGAAATATGCCTGGCATGTAATAGGCACTTAATAAATGTAATTAAAAAGCTAATGCTTTTATACAGCATGACTATAGTTAGCAACAACAACAAAAGCAAGTGCTTTTCAGTAAGAGGCTTATTGGGACCTTAATTTTATTTGTAGGTAAGTGAGTGTTTAGTTTAATCTTTGCTATTGTTCTAGTTTAAATAGTTTTACTAATTTTTAGTGATTAGAAAACTAGATCTTATTTTTGCTTTGTCTCTCCCTTTTTTTTTTTTTTAGGAAGAATCCCCAGCACAAGATAGAATACAGACATAGTACACTTCCAGGTAAGCAATTCTACTTCAGGAAACAAAATGAAACCTTCAAATGATTCTCTTGTTCAACCTAGATACAATTTCCAGTTATGTGAATTGTTTTAATCCCTGCTTCTATGAATTTGCTGATTTTAATGATTTTTCTTAGATTAGAACAAAGTGGTAATTTTTTTTAAATGCCAAATGTTTTCTGTAATCATTGCACAACCATATATATTTATCCTTGTATCCTTTAGAATTCTTTCACTGGCCAGTTCCTGAAAAAAAAAAAAAAATCTCAACCTAAGTGATAATGAGAACTTATTGACCTATTTAAGTGAAAAATCCAGAAGTAGGGATGGATTTAGACAAGATTTACTGCTTTGGCTCATTAGTAATGTCAGTAATGTCACCAAGGACCCAATTTTCTTCCATCATTCTGTCTTTAGAGGGGTCATTACCACCCTAAGACTGGCTCCTCTACCCAGGAAGGGACTATACGCATCCTTATTCAGTACCCGTGTTTGCATCTAAGGAGAGAGAGGGGATGAATAACTTTAGCTCTCATTATTCCTAGGAAAAATAGATGAAAAAAAATTTTTTTTATTAGTTTAGATCACATTCTTACTCTTGGATGAATCACTAAGACCACTGATTAGTTTACTCCACCTCTGGATCTAGGGTAGGTTCACCTTCAGAACCACAGGGAAAGGGAAGGAGGGAGGACAGAGGGCAGAGAATCGACCATCAAATGTCCTTGAGCCCAAGGCACAGCCACCTCGATCACCCTCCTCTTCCCCCTGCTTCCGAACTCGAATACTTTCTACCTTTAACAAATGCTGGCTCCTTCATATCATCTATATAATGCAGAGGCCAATTTGGTACACAGTATTTCTGCTCACAGAATGAGAGACTAAAGTGCGAATCCTGCAGGGCCCCTTGTCTGCGCATAAACAGCCCCCGCGGAACCAACAGGCAACAACCAGGAAGAGAATTCCACTCGAAGATTCTCATTGAAACACACTTTGAAGCTTTAGTATTTCAGACACAACTCATTTTATCTGAGCTAATAGTTGAATAAAGGGCCAGAGCAAGGGTGGTCACCACGAGAATGGAAGGATAGGATTAGATACAGTGGGATTTTGAAGGAAAAATCAGATTCGCCAACTAATTGGTTTGGGAGCTGGGATGACATAAAAGGAAAGGAAACAGTGATCACTCAGAATTATAATACAATTTATCAGGAGGCTGGGGATGATATTTACATACCGTGGAGATCAAGAAGAACCGCGTGGGGAGTTCATGTTTTTGTTTTCCAGTGTAAATGTTGAGTGTGAGGTGGGGTTCCATGGCTACACAGTAAGACAATACAATTTAATATAGTGCCAATGTTACAAAAACCGCATGAAACGCTTACTATTTAGCTTCTGATTTGTAACCCTCCTAAAACATTTCCTTCTCCAGAATTCTTCCACACATGCAGCAATTTATAGAGTGTATTTTGTTTTTTGTAGATTTGACTACTGTCCTCTATTACGCTTCTTGTATATCTGATTGATTTAAAATTTCACTAACTTTCCACACTTTTTTTAAAGAGTGCTGTGCTTTTGGCATAAGCTGTTGAATGCAAGAGTAACCAATGCCAGGAAACTTTTATGCTTTCTTAGCTACCTTACCTGTTAACAGCATTTAAAGAAATTATCATCAGCATTTTATTATCTGATTATCAGAGTCGTTCTGGCTTTTATTATTATGTGATATGTATTATTCTAGGGTATCGATACCATCCATGGCTGAAAATTTAGCTATCTACAATAGCTATTTTATTTTTTTTAAATGTTTTTTTAAAAATTTTATTTATTTATGATAGTCACAGAGAGAGAGAGAGGCAGAGACATAGGCAGAGGGAGAGGGAGAAGCAGGCTCCATGCACCGGGAAGCAGGCTCCATGCACCGGGAGCCCAATGTGGGATTCGATCCCGGGTCTCCAGGATCGTGCCCTGGGTCAAAGGCAGGCGCCAAACCGCTGTGCCACCCAGGGATCCCTACAATAGCTATTTTAATATTCCTCTAGTTCTGCAATTATTTGCACACATTTGCTTATATATACTTTTCTTCCAGCAGTAGAACCCATAGTTCTAGAAAGCTATTATAGAAATTAATGGAACTTAAATAAGATTCTACAAACTGGGATCCCTGGGTGGCGCAGCAGTTTGGCGCCTGCCTTTGGCCCAGGGCGTGATCCTGGAGACCCGGGATCGAATCCCACATCGGGCTCCCGGTGCATGGAGCCTGCTTCTCCCTCTGCCTGTGTCTCTGCCTCTCTCTCTCTCTCTCTCTCTCTCTCTCTCTCTCTCTCTATCATAAATAAATAAAAATTAAAAAAAATTTAAAAAAAAAGATTCTACAAACTGCTGCTTAGTGTGGGGAAAGTGGAGAGATTTGGGGATACGAAAAAGGCAAGTGCAATGGGATCTAAAAAGAGAAATAAACTTCATGTAAATAGAGTCGATCAGAATAGACAAGCTGCTTTTCCAAGGCTAAATTATGAATACCCAACTCATGGCTTGGTGCATGAGAAAGATGAGTATTTAGTAGTAAAATGAAGTATTTAAAAAAGTGTTTATTCTTATGGTGTGGAGTACATTTTCATCTTTAGAATATTGGGCCAAAAGTTTTTTTACTTAATGAGAATTACTATCCTAATTAGTCCTCAGATTTACTGGAAAAGAAAGGAAAATAAAATCTGAAGAGTTATTGATGTTAAGCTGTAAATCTGCTATGAGGCATCTCTTAGATGTCATCTGAGGTGACAGGCTTAGATCCTGACACCAGAAACCTATTTTGAAAAATCAGCAATTTGGAGTGATCTTTTCTCTCTGCTAAAACCAGCATGTCTTCCAACGTACATTTGACATTTTGTACTCTTCACTAGCTCTTCAGACTTATGTTCTTGGGGTAAGAATTGACAGTGAAATTTTAAACTGTGAAGGAAAGTTTAGATACAAATTTAGGAATTATTCTGATATTGCACATTCCTCTACATGAAAAGTAAGAAATCACCACCTAACATCAAATAATTAATCTCATATTGTTTTAAACATGTTTCAAGAGTTTGTTACTTTTGTAAGCGTGATTATTTTCCATCATGAAAGTCCAGTGTTAATCCATCAGTTTTTAAAAACAAGTGACAGCCTATTTCTCCTGTGCTGCTGCATGCAGTCAAGCTGTCAGTACATTCCCTACATTTCATATGATTTCACTGACTTGTAGAGAAAATGAAGATTCTTACTTTGGCCTTAAAATTAGAACTTCGGAGTCAGAAAGGATTTTTGAAGTAATTTAATCAACATCCTTTGACTCATAGATAAAAACATAAATTCCATTAAGCCATTAAGTTAAGTGACTTGTTCATTGTTTATGGGCTTGTTTATGACCCAGATCTTTGGGCTTCTACTCCCCAGTCCGTCTGTCTTCTTTCTCTTAAACCACAGCTGCTTTTTAAAGAGACTTTTTGTTGGATGAGGGGAATGGGCAACCACATAAGAACAGCAATAACTAGCAGCGAGAAACTCCCGAGTGAAGATAGAGAAAAAAAATTAATTTCATGTGAGCTCACCTGGATTTGGAAGAAAGAAGCTCACTTCTGATTTTCTCAGACACACTTAAGACTTGTATTTCAGGGGCGCCTGGGTGGTTCAGTTGGGTAAGCAACAGACCCTTGATTTCTGCACAGGTCATGATTTCGGGCTCATGAGATCCAGCTCCACAGCAGGCTCCTCATCAACTCTGTGCTGGGCATGGAGCCTACTTAAGATTTCTCCCTCTCCCTCTGCCCCACTCCACCTTGGGTACTCTCCCACCAAAAAATTACTCCCCCTGCCAAAAAATTATATTTCAAATCAGCTAGTCATTATATAAGTGAATGTTATACGTAAGCACTTGTTTTTTTCAAAAATGCATTATGCTCTTTAATTCTGTGGAAATCTATTGGACATCATAACTACAAAAAAAAACATAAAAATTATGTTTTGTTATTGAGTAGAAATATTAAACAGCTCCTGCTATGTCCCCTGTTATTATTTTTGCCCTTTAATAAGCTTTTCACCAACCATGACATTCTCTGTATGATACTGGAGCCTTGGCTTGGGATAGTCTGCGATGCGACGCCTCATGAGTGTTGCCTGGTTCTCCAACCAGCCAGCTTCCTTGCATGAGAAGCTTTCTTTGAGAATTTTATAAAGCAAACAGTTTTTAGGAAGGTTTATGTGAACTTTACTACTTTCGTCACTTTTAATCCAGATATTTATACTGTATGTTTCAGCTTGCCCAGTTAGAGACTACATGTGTGGGGCTTTTTTGTTTTGTTTTGTTTTTTTTGAAGAAAGCTTTCAGTGTTCTTTAGTTCCCTTTTGCATAAAAACTTATTTTGTGGCAAAGACAGGCATTTTATTCCTAAGTTAAGTGCTAGTCATATTTAGTTCAGAACCTTACTTCCTGAGTTTATTCCCATGATTCAGGAAATCATGTAATAATTCAGATCGACAAGTGTACTCATTCAAAGCACTTTCCAAATAAGTAAAGTTTCACTAACTGCATGCCCGGATTACACTGAAAGGCAGAAACTATTATTTTGCTAAAAGCACCTTCAGCAATTAAAAAACAAAACAAAACATAAGCCTAAACTTCCTTCTCCCTGGCATTTACATTGTGGAATATTTGAAGTTACTAATTGAATTTGCTAAACAGGATCCATTGTAATGGATTCCAGAGGGATGGTCACAGGTCCATATCTAATACCCTGTTAAGTGTGGGAGCAATGCTGCTAACAAAGGACAAAGGGCTGACTTTGCCTTTGTCATGGGTTGGCTCTTCGGGTGCTTCTACTTAAAGCACAAAATACCTGTTCATGTGAAGTGAGATGGATGAAATTTGGCCACCAGCTACATGGAGTTCTGTTATGGATTCCGCTTTTTGTAGATTCCGAACCTCCTATTTAAAGGAATATGAGGGAGCCCTGGGTGGCGCAGCGGTTTAGCGCCTGCCTTTGGCCCAGGGCGCGATCCTGGAGACCTGGGATTGAATCCCACGTCGGGCTCCCGGTGCATGGAGCCTGCTTCCCCCTCTGCCTGTGTCTCTGCCTCTCTCTCTCACTGTGTGCCTATCATAAAAAATTTTAAATAAAAGAAAAAAAGAAAAAAAAAGGAATATGAATGTGATGTTTATATAAATGGGGATTTGATAGATATAAATGATTTTTTGAGGGAACAAATAACATGACCTTATTGCTCAAGAAATGAGCCTGGGGCGGCCGGGGTGGCTCAACAGTTTAGCGCTGCCTTCAGCCCAGGGCGTGATCCTGGAGACCCGGGATGGAGTCCCACGTCGGGCTCCCCGCATGGAGCCTGCTTCTCCCTCTGCCTGTGTCTCTGCCTCTCTCTCTCTCTCTCTCTCTCTCTCTCTGCATCTCTAATGAATAAATAAATAAAATCTTAAAAGAAAAGAAATGAGCCTGCCCAGTAAGTTGCTAAAGACTTCCAGGGTTCATTGAGGCTTAGCCCCTTCAGTTAGGTTTTAGATAAATGTCTTTAATATAATTCATTATATTGACAGTCAAGCTAAGTGATTAAAAGCCGGGGTGTGGTTAAGCATCTGCCTTCAGCTCAGGTCATTATCCCAGGGTCCTGGGGTGGAGCCCCATGTCACACTCCCTGCTGAAGGGGGAGCCTGGTTCTTCCTCTCCCACTCCCCTTGCCTGTGCACGCTCGCGTGCTCTCTCTCTAATGAATACATGAAAAGTCTTTTTAAAATGTAGGTTAGAATAAGGGTTTCTGTAAAACTAAAGGTATTCAGTTGATTTGCAATTTGTTGATTTGTTCAACTGTTCATATATTTAACAAATATATATCTTTTTTTTAAATTTTTATTTATTTATGATAGTCACAGAGAGAGAGAGAGGCAGAGACACAGGCAGAGGGAGAAGCAGGCTCCATGCCCCGGGAGCCCGATGTGGGATTCGATCCCGGGTCTCCAGGATCGCGCCCTGGGTCAAAGGCAGGCGCCAAACCGCTGCGCCACCCAGGGATCCCTAACAAATATATATCTTAAGTGTCTTCTATGTGTTAGGCATTGTAGGAGCTGAGGAGACAATAGAGGCAACACCTCACTCTTGTAGAATTTCACAAAGGTGGGCAGGGCGCATGTAAACAGCTGTGTGATGTCGTGTTTGATAACTGCTAAGAAGAAAAAGTTGTGTAAGAGGACAGATGGCAGGGGTGTGTGTGGTGAGGGACAGGTGCCATTTCAGATAGGATCGTGAAAGGACTCGATAATTTGACACAAGGGCTGAGGCTTGAAGGGGACAGCAAGACAGGTGATTATCTGAGGGACGACTGTGCCAGGCAGGGGGAACGGTGACTCCAGAAGCCCTCGAGATGATCCAAGGCTGCTTATACTATTCAAGGAGCAGTAGAAAAAGAGTAGAATTACAAGAGAATAAGCAAGGAGTAGCAGATGAGATCAGAAAAGCTGGTGGTGGGCCAGTGGTATAGGGTCTAAGAGGCCACGACCTACAAGTAAGACCTTGAGATTTAATTCAGACTGAGGTAGAAAGCTATTGGAAGGTTCGGCTTCTCTGTGGAGAGCAGACAAGAGTGGAAGCCAGAAACTAGTTAGTAAACATTGGAATTGACTGAAGAAAGAAGATGATGGCATGGGGACCAGAGAATGGAGTAGATCTAGTGAGAAGTGGCAGATAGATTTTGATGGCAGAGCCAATAGGATCTCTGGACATACTGGATATGGAGTGTTCAGGGGGAGGCTATTCAAGGACGGCTCCAAGATTCTTGGAAGGTTGGAGAAATCATATGCTCAAGAGTGATAAGAGAATGACCAGATTTGGTGAAGCACCTCAAGAATTGTGTTCTGGAAATATTACGTTTCAGATGCCTGTGCATCGTGCACTGAGTAGGCCGTGAGATAGAGGAGTCTGGAATTCGGGTGGTGGTCAGGGCCGAGGTTATACGTTTGGGAATTCAGGATATAAGACTGGACTGTGTTAGAGAAGAGGTCCCAGCCAGAAACTTGAACACTCCAGAACCTAGAGGTTGGGCAGATGAGGAGGAGCCAGCAAAGGACCCTGAGAAGGAAGAGCCAGATAAAGCAGGAGGAGAACCTGAAGTTTCTTCATTCAGCTTTATGGATGTTGCTCTTATAAATCTGCTAGAGTAATTTCTGAATCTGAAAGGACACACTTCACTGTGACATCACTAGGTACGTATAGGAGGTCCGTCCAGAGCAGAATGCCCAGGAGCAGAGATGGTGATGGGCTTTCCTCCTCCCTCCTTTGCCATCTGCAAACTACCCTCGAAATGTTCTTTTAAATGTTCCCCATCCTGAAAGTTTTATGGGAAATTGAGATTAGCTAGACATAACACATGCCCTTAGGATGCTTACAGGAGATGAGAAATGTCTACAAGTAAATACAATGCTAATTTCCCCCGAGGCACTGACGTGCTGCTCACGCCAATGAGAACCGTGCACATCCTTATGTAGCCTTCCTGGCCTGGGCCACCGAGGAACCCAGGGGGAAACCTGAGGCTCCGTTTCTAATAATCATGGTAAAACCGAAGGCTGACATGTTTACGTTCTGGTTTTTATGTTATCTTAGTTCCTACTTTTATTTGTTTGTTTTGTTTTGTTTTGTTTTTTATGACCACATTATTATAAGCTGTCTCAAGTCCTCTCTGCAAATGAATGGCGATACTAAGAAAGATGTAAATGTCTGGCCTGTGGGAGTTAAGAGGACAGATAAATTATTTTTTTGTCATCCGACGTTTTTTCCTTCTCAAATTTCTTGAATTTCATTTAAGTCACATCTATCTATTGTGAACATTTTAGGAGGAAGTCAAGTAAAGCATACACAGAAGTACAAGTGGTGATTTTTAGACCCATATGTTGATCATAGGAATTGTCTCCTGCTATTCAGAGATTTCCAGATAGAATCTTCCTGTTTTTCTTTCTTTCTTTCTTTCTTTCTTTCTTTCTTTCTTTCTTTCTTTCTTTCTTTCTTTCTTTCTTTCTTTCTTTCTTTCTTTCTTTTCTTCTTTCTTTCTTTCTTTTCTTTCTTTTTTTTCTTTCTTTCTTTCTTTCTTTTCTTTCTTTCTTTCTTTATTTCTTTCTTTCTTTTTCTTTTCTTTCTTTTTTATGATTTTACTTATTTATTCATGAGAGACCCAGAGAGAGGGTCTTCCTGTTTTTCTTTCTTTCTTTCTTTCTTTCTTTCTTTCTTTCTTTCTTTCTTTCTTTTCTTCTTTCTTTCTTTCTTTTCTTTCTTTTCTTTCTTTCTTTCTTTCTTTTCTTTCTTTCTTTCTTTATTTCTTTCTTTCTTTTTCTTTTCTTTCTTTTTTATGATTTTACTTATTTATTCATGAGAGACCCAGAGAGAGGGGCGGAGACACAGGCAGAATCTTCCTGTTTTTCTTTCTTTCTTTCTTTCTTTCTTTCTTTCTTTCTTTCTTTTCTTCTTTCTTTCTTTCTTTTCTTTCTTTTTTTTCTTTCTTTCTTTCTTTTCTTTCTTTCTTTCTTTATTTCTTTCTTTCTTTTTCTTTTCTTTCTTTTTTATGATTTTACTTATTTATTCATGAGAGACCCAGAGAGAGGGGCGGAGACACAGGCAGAGGGAGAAGCAGGCTCCCTGTGGGGAGCCCGATGCTGGACTCGGTCCTGAACCGACCCCGGGGTCACGCCCTGAGCCGAAGGCAGAGGCTCAACCGTTGAGGCCCCAGGTGACCCTTGATTGTGATGTTGTTAAGGAACTGTTATTAGGAATCTCACAGGACATTTTATTTATTTATTTATTTATTTATTTATTTATTTATTTATTTTACTTACAGGACATTTTAATTTTAGGAGTCTCATGGTAGGAAAAGTTAGAATCAAATAAATGTTAAAAAAAAAAAAACAGAATTCTAACAGAGTACTTTTATCTGCCTTTCTAGAAATTTGTGGTGCTTAGTGTTGTCTTAAGTAAAATCAGTCCTTGTCAGAGAAAGACATCGTGCAATTCCATGTCCCTACGCCCGGGTTTGAGTGGCGATTGATACGTTGTGTACCGAATGGGTTTGTTTCTTTTTTTTCTCCCAGTGAGAAGCATGTCAGATGAAGACGGAGATAACGGTGGGCAGCCCAGTGAGTGCGGCCTCAACGACAGCTTTGTTGGTGATGAGGAAGAGGACTATGAACCCACAGATGAAGATTCTGACTGGGAACCAGAACAAGAAGACCAGGAGCAGGAAGATGTAGAGGAGCTTTTAAAGGAAGCAAAAAAGTTCATGAAAAGGAAAAAGTAACTTTTTTCAGCGATGATATATGGCTCACATTTAGTCTTTACGGAAAAAATTCAGGAACTAAGGAAGCACTTAAGTGACCATTGTTTTCCTTCTTTTTATGGTCGTGACTTTGCTATGGACTCTTCGTGAAGGAAACGCTGATACGTCGGCCCTCAGTGTAGCGGATGGAGTTTGTTTTTGTTGCCTTGCTTTTTCTGTCCTGTTTAAAGCATCTGGAAAGAGGAGGCAGAGAGTTAAAGAGAAATAAGTGATATTTTTCATATATTTTTGTGTTGGGAATAAACAGAAAGCCATAAGTCGCACAAAGCTTTGGCCCTGTTCCTTTTTTCCAAAGACCCTCAGTTTGAGTACCGCGAGGCAAGCGGAAGCCGGCCAACCACGGCGCGGGCAGCGGAACTTGCCTCCTTCCTTGCTATCGAAGCAATTCTTCAGGCAGAACCAGGCTTTGGAAAATGACAGCCTGTTATTTTTCTAGTGCCCTGGATATGAGCTTTATGACCTCATTCACTACTTTTGTTCTTTGAAACTTGGGGAAATCATTATCAAATGGCTGCTGAGAATGTATTCACCTGGACCGTGGAACTGTCACCATATGCCGGGAATGTTGCCTTGTGCCTCACGTCGGTAATTTACTCTGTGTCTGAATTTAAAAGTAGGAAAGTCCAAAGGATTTGACACTTTATTTTTTCAAAACTAAAGTCCTGCGTGGTTATTTTAACTCCCTGTGTTCTGTCTCTACATTAAAAGATACAAAAATTATTTTTAACCATAATTCTCAGATGACGTTGGTTCTTTTGTCCTCAGATAAAGGCAGCAAGCTGTCTGCTAGTGTTCAAGATTCTGGGCTTTTATTTCAAGAAGAAACCCCTTATTCTCCAATTTTATGAAGTATATATCTCTGTTCTCAAACTACTTTAGGCCCCGTAATACTCTTCATTTTAGGTGACTTAGAATCTTTGAAATCCAGTTTAGAATCTTTCATAGTAGTTGGGTATGTGAGCGCCGCGGTAGGCATAGTATTGACGTCATAAATTGCTATGCTAAGTGTCCTTGCTAAACACTAATATTTTCTAAGACAATCTAGAAATTTATATCTTAAAAGGGCAAGACAGATTTATAATGGTTTTCTCAGTGTTTCTGAATGTCTTTCAAAGTTAGTTGTGTAATATTAAAATTAGCTTAAGCTGCCCAAGACAAGATAAATATTTCTTTAGACCTATTATTCTGACTTTACCTCTGTTATTTGGGAACTCGTGTCCCTTCCAATGTCCCTTTAGTCTTGGGGGCTCGACAGACCTCTGAACTTATTTTCATCCCTGCACCGACTTAATCCTTCGAGTGTTTTTTAATCTGCTCATAGATATATCCTGAAAGAATTGAAAACATGTCCACACAAAAACATGTTTACAATGTCCACAGAGGCATTATTTATGATAGTCAAAAAGTGGGGGCGCCAGGGTGGCCCAGTCGGTTAAGCGTCTGACTCTTAATCCCGGCTCAGGCCTTGGTCTCAGGGTGGTGAGTTCGAGCTCTGTGTTGGGTTCCACGCTGGGCACGGAGACTACTGAAAAAAATAAATATAAATAAAATTGGTATAATAGTCAAAAAGTGGAAACACCTAAATGCCCATCAGTTGATGAACAGATAAACAAAATGTGGCTCTACACATCGTGTCTCTACAATGGAAAAATTTTTGGCTGAGAGAAAGAGCTGAAGGATTGATACATGCTGTAACACGGATAAACCCTGAAAGGACTGTGCTACATGAGAGGAGCCAGCCACAAAAGGCCACGTATTATATGAATTAATTTGTATGAAATATCCAAAATAGGCAAATCCCATAGAGAGTAGATTAGTGGTTCCCAGTGCCGGGTGCAGGGGAGTGCCTGGAGGAGGTGGGCACAGGGGGTGACTGCTAATCGGTGTAGGGTGTCTCTGTGATCTGGAGTTAGTGGTGATGCTTGTACGGCTCTGTAAACGGAAACCCACTGGACTGTACACTGTCAAAGGACGGGTTCTATGATCCGGGGTAGGCTGCTATAAAGAGAGAATGCAAAAGCGGACCCTGGGCTTTCAGAAAGAAAAAAGCATTTAATCAGAGTACGTTCTTCTTGGCGTAATGTGATAGCTTTTGGTGGGGCGGGGGGTGCGTGGCTAGGGGCGGAGGGAGAGGAAGAATCCGAAGCAGGCTCCACAGCCAGCGCGGGGCCCAGGGTCACAACCCTGACATCATGACCTGAGCAGAAATCAAGAGCCGGATGCTCAACTGACCCAGCAGCCCTCGTGGTAGCTGCGTTTCAAGGAGGACTTGATGTGGATGATCATCCCAGACACCTGAGTACGATGCGTGACCGGGTAGCGAAATTGGCCAGACTTTGCCCCTCGTAAGTGGACTGTATTCAAATCTGTGACTTACAAAGTGGAGGGAAAACTGACAATATCAGGCCGTCAATGGGTGCAAGAGCAATGTTAACAGAAACTTGATTAAGTCCTTGCTGTCCTGGGCAGTGTGTAGGAGCCAACGCTCGCTCCCGTGGGGCTCACTGAATCTCTATCTCAGCTTTCTCCATCGTGCCACGTTTTATCACATGTACATTTCTCACCAATGTGCTTCATTCTGAAAGAAATTTTTTTTTTTTTCTGACTTCTTGCAGGTAGCAGGGGTGGTTTCTGGGACCTTGGGAAGTCGAGACAGGAAGATCTTTCAGTGACGCCCAGACACTGAATTCTGTTTTTGCCCCAGGTTGAGGATGGCCTTGTCAGTACTCTTGGTCGGTTTCTTTCTTTGTTTCTCTTTCTTTCTTTTTAAGATTTTGTTTATTTCAGAGAGAGAGCATAGCATGAGCAGTAGGGAGGGGTAGAGGGAGAAGCAGACTCCCCACCGAGCAGGAACCCCGATGCGGGTCTCAATCCCAGGACCCCAAGATCATGGGCTGAGCTGAAGGCTGACACTCAACCAACTGAGCCACCCGGGCGCTCTTGGTTTCTAGAACTGGAAGATCCTAGTGGACGTAAACATTCATGTAATGAAAGCAGAGAGATTGTGATCATAATTTTCCAGGATGGTGACGTGAAGCTGAGAATAAATGGACAGTGACTTTCTTCCAGTTCACGTGTGCAGAGTTCGGTGTCACCACCGCACGCACGTGCTGCATCCAGCCCTGCTCTGTGACACCACCCGCTTCCTTGTTCCCGTTCTTGAGCAGGAATCGGTGATCAGGGCTGTGTGTCCGTGCCCATGCACATATTTTCCTCCCGCCCATTGGCAAACCAGACTTACAGAGCTCCTCTACAATAAATATTGAAGAAAAGGGGTGAAGACAAGTGACTGCTGACGTTATGACGGGCTGTCCTAGTACAATGCACATAATAAATCTTATGGTCGCCCTAAGCCACCACGGTTGTGCTCTGTTCTGCCCGAGACCCTGCCTAGCATAGAAGAGCACAGAGTCCGTCTCACTGTGCTTACAAAGTATTTGGGAAGTTGGATATTTATTCATGACTAGTGGATCCCATGGGGGTGGCCAGGGAGAGAGGACACGGTTGTCTGCAGTCACAGGGGCTGCGAAGGCAATGAGGCTGTTGGCCCAAGAGCAATGGGTGGAGCGACACTCGTCAGAGAAGGGAGTGCTGGGTTATAATCCAAACATCCCGTCTTGCTAGATTGAAATACAGCCTTGATCTTGAGGAAACGCCTTTGTATGATGCAGTTGGAAGCCGAAGGAGATTTTTTTTCCACAGGACGCAATTTTTACTTGACGGTTAGCATAGCAGATAAGCTTATGGTTATTCAAAGTTGAGTATTTGGCAGACATTTCCTCCAAAATGTACTAAGTGAGCCCATTTTTCAAGGAAAACAACCGGCACTATTCGTTGTCATTGTAAAACTTGAGCTCGCCAGCAAAAATTAGGATTCTGGAAAGCCTGCGTGTGTCACTGTGAGCCTGATTGCTTCCGAAAGCTTTACAAACCGTCACCAGGGTAATAAAATATAATGAAGTGTGTCGCCGTTTGGAAGAGCTGCAGAAGTGAACGAGCCAATGGTTTCCAAATGACTAGCGCATGTTACAAAATCAGGGTGGGTAGAAGCCACTCAAAGCACGAGATAGACCAGTGGAGTTTAACGTACCAGAGTCTGTCGGCGCAGTTCGTTAATTTAGGTGCAGACTACGGATCGCGACCAGCCTTTCAGAAGCTACTTACATTTTTCTACTTCTGGTGCCATGTCAAAAATAATACCCATAATTATCTGAAAAGCTCGTTAAAATACTCATTCCTTTCCCGAGTGCGTAACCCCATATGCTTTAAGCAAAACAGCATGTGAGAGTAGACCTGTGAATCCGGCGACCTGCTATTATGTGGGCGTTAGAGAGATTTACCAAAATGTGACCCAAGGCCGCTCGTCTCACTACATTAAAAAAAAAAAAAATTGTCTTTCATAAAATACTCTTGTGTTAATGTGTAACCGGCTTGTTACTTTTATTTTATTCATCTTTTTAAAATATGTGTAATTTATTTGAAAGAGAGAGAACAAAGGGAGCGGGACAGAGAATCTCAAGCAGACTCCCCGTTTAGCTGGGAGCCCGACACGGGGCTCAGTCTCCCCACCCAGAGATCATGACCTGATCCGAAACTGAGAGTTGGACGCTAAACCAGCTGTGCCTCCCCAACGCCCCCATTTATTATTTTTCAATGAATTAGTAAACAAATATTTTGCATTTCTCAACTACAATTTCCAAAATGGCGTGTAACTATAGCCATGACCTTCATAAACAGAAGCTCTTTGGGATCTTTAGTGATCCTTATGAGTAAAAGGAGTCCTAAGGCTCAGAATTTTGAGAACCCTCAGTTCTATCGGTGTACATTCAGTTAGGTCAGCTGTGGTAGCACAACCCTAAAATCTGTGATTTGATAAGAGGGAAGTTGCCTTATGACGAGATTTCCTGTGTTGGGTGACTCTCGGGGCACTGTCTTCCATGTAACGGCATCCCAGGCTTTCAGAGGCTCCGTGGTCTCACGGTTGCACCATCTGGAACCTGGGACCTTCTTAACCAGGAGGAGGTTGGGGGGCGACAGAGGCCCTGCAGATCCAGAGCTGCAGGCTGCAGGTGGACTCCCCACTGGTGTTGGCTAGAAGCCACACTGGAAGGGGAGGCCAGAGAAGATGAGAACCTGCTGGAGTGAACACCAGTCATGTCACCACCATCACTAAAGGAGTGAGTGATGTTAGGGAAAAGAGCTGGGGACAAGAATCTAAGGGGTGGAAAGAGAAGACTCATTGAAGGAGTTGGAGAAGAGGCATGTCAGGAACTTGCCCTCTGACTCACAGTCGGTCATCTGCTCCCCTCTTCCCTGAGCGTTCCCATGACCTGGCCCTTCACGATGGGCTCCCGCCTGCCTCTACTCGAGGGAAAGGGGTCTCTTACCCCTCCTGGCCTTCAGCCCTTCCTCCTCATCTTGCTTATTCTTCCTTAAATGCTCTGGTTTTCTTGATGTTTCTGGAACTCCCCAAGCTCCCTCCTGCCCTGTGACCTTTGTACTTGTTTCCTGTGTTGAGAATGCCCTTCCCCTTGGTCTGCACATGGGCCCTGCCATTGACTCCTGGTATCTACTCAAATCTCACTCTGACTACTGGCCTGAAACAGCCACCACCTCGAGCCCTCGCCCCACCGTCCACCTCGAGCCACCACCTCGAGCACTCACCCCACCATCACCTCGAGCCACCACCTCGAGCCCTCACCCCACCGGCCTCGGCCTCTTTTCCCTACTTTATGTTCAGAGCAGTTATCATACTGCTTCATAGTCCCGGCCTCGTTTCCTTGCTGTCATCCCACTTGGATATCAACTCCGTTCGGGAAAGAACATTGTCTTGTTTACCTCTGCATCTTCAGTGCCCAGAGCGATGTCTTCCTTTCTTATGGCTACTCGACACGGATTTGTGGAGTGAAAGAGTGAATGAATATTCTAGAATTTCTGGAATGCTCCAAGAAAAAAAAAAAAACCCCAATTTTGAATATTCACCGTATAGATTTCCTTATGCAAGGCTGTGCTGTGTCCCCGAGTGAGAAGCCCACTTAATCCAGCATTTTGCAAACTTGTATCACCGCTATGCACCATTTTTGAGCCTCACCTAACAAACAGCTGATAAAATCAGAACGCCCTTT